GTATGCTGCTTCTGAAGAAGGGAGAATATGTTGCTGTAGGCCTGAACTTTGTCAGGTCAAGTCCATGCCTAAGGCTTGGATTTCATTCCTTTTGCCAGTTGGAGAGTATCCATCAAAGCAGGAGAGAAGCAGAAGGCAGCTGGGTCTTATTTCCTTATCACCTTGGGCTGTGACACCATTTGACCTCAAGAGATTAAGTAGGGTCAGGCCAGCACTTGAAAGAGACTAATCTGTATTTTTTTCCCCTGTAGGTTGTTTTGATGAATCATTGGGTGAAACTATTGTTTCTGAATTAATGCTGTCCTAATCCATTAGCAAAGTACTTGGAGGATGTTTTGTTACTCTGTGTGCTATTCGTGAATGAGTCTGAAAATGGAGATATTGACTGTTAGTATATTCTTCACAGCTTTCATGCAGAAGGGTCATTTTACTTCCTTTTTTAGCCACATTTTAATTCAGGTATCTAGACAATGGTATCTATTTTTTTTTAAATTTAATTTTAATTCATCCCTCTTGTCTTTGCTGCTTTTCCTGCATTTTAAGTGCTCTTTAACAGTGCCTGGCTCTGTTCCCTTTTTATTCAGTGGAGAATGCATTAATGTAGGTAGTATCATTAGTTATGTAGTGAGAGTTTTAACATATGCTATTAATTGATGGAAGATACCCAACTGAATTTTCAGGCTACCGTTTCCTGATGGAGCTGTATGCTCCCAAGCATGATTTTATATGACAATTGGTGTAAAGGGAAGAGCTGAACATGTAGCATGTTTCAAAACAGGTACTATTTCTACTCATTCTAAGCAAAAAGTGTGCAGATGAAGATAGCCTAAGGCCCATTCATGTGATTTGCTTCATTGATACAGAAAAAGATGCTGCAGTTTGCAACTTGGTCCATTCTGACCTAGTCTATCTCCTGTAATTTTCCTTCTGCCTTCCCTTCCCCACTTGAAGGACTTCAACTCTGTCTCAGCAGAACTCATGTCCTTTTCTTTCTTTAGGTTTTGTTCTAATATAAAACATTCCACTTGACATTTGAATGTGTCAGCAAAATCCTCTGGTTCCCTATGCAAGATTTTGCAGCTTGACACGCGTTTCTGTAACTAACCTGCCACTGACTTCACAACTCCAGTCTTCCACATGATTTAGTACATCTCTTTGGAAAACTATGTTCGCATTTCAGTTGTAATAACGATGATTGCTTTTCCTTTGAGAATGATGTTTACGCTGTTTTCTTAATGATGTGGTTGATATAGTGTAAGATGTGTCAGCAGTATATGACTTTTCTCCCTCAGCCCTGATATTAAGTTAAAATCAAGGGGGTTCAAATAACATGCTCCAGAGACGTTAGACTTTTATGATAAACAATCCTTTACCTGAAATATTTCAAAGAATGCTGTAAGAAATTAACATATTAAGCAGAAATTCTTAAACTTAAAGACATTCAAACTCTATTTCAAGAAGACTTTGGGGCATCTATGGCTGGGAACTTCTTTGTGAACGCAAGTTCAAGACCAAAGGAGCGCTATCTGTTTCACCAACAGAAATTGTCTCAGTTTTCATATGTTGCCTGAACAGGATCAGACTGTGCCATCTTAATGTAAATAAGGTTCTAGCAGCTGAAACTCCAGTGGGTTTTGTGTATACATGTTCATGCAAAGAGGTGAATAGGCTGAGGAAAGTCATTCTATGTATATACCACTTCCATGCCTCTCCAAATCACAGAAGAGGAGTGAGGGCAAACCCACCTGGTCAAAGCCAGGCAAATGAAGAAGGGAGGAACCAGTCCTAGCAGACCTTTAAGTTCTAACAGTTTAGCGTGGGTGCTCGAGTACTACTGCTGGAAATGCCCATTAGGCGCCTACATTCTTACAGGAATTGAAAGCCAGGTCAGTCAAGCCTCCTCTTCTCTTGTCTGATGCTATTCTACTGATGAGTCAGCTCTTGTTGTTTTAAAATGTCATTAAAATCCATTCATTGAGTCATAATTCCAAGATTATTTTTTCTTCCTGAGCAAGAGACTATGGACTAATACAGAGATAAACACTTCCAGGAGAATAACTTCCTATTGGATTTTACATCTGTTATCAAGAAACTAGTTTGGTCAAAGTACCAACAAAACTTTCTCAGTGTTTGCAGGTATTAAAAGACTTCATCTCACTTGGATTTTGCTTACTCTGATTCTCTTGTTGCTTGAAAGATTTCCCGCTAGTTCGTTATTTTTCTGTTCTGACTGCTCTGAAGGCAGTTACAGAAAAATTAACTTCTTTCCTTTTGTGCAGTCCCACAGAAGTTTAGTTATTCTGAAAGATATAAAGCAGAAAATAGAAGAGTGCCTTTTGCAGTACGAGGGGAAACTTGTATGTAAGTAAGCAAATCTGGCTAAAAGTCTGCACTTCTTGTTTTGTCAGCGCTCTTCGTCAGAATCATTAGCATCCTGGTCCTGATAAAATTTCTCATTAGGGTGTTGAAGCCTGTCTACCATATGATGTCTCTGATGAAACATATGCTCTTTTTGATTCTCCACAATAGTAAGAACTTCTTAAGGGGAAGACAAAAATATAAAAAATATGTAAACTTCTCCAGATAACCTACCTGGAGGATTACTGAAGGGATAAGATGGCCAAAGATTTATGTAGTGTTATTAATCAGCAGATCTGGGTTTCTTCTTTCAGGGGTGTGGACAGTTTAGCTCAGGTAGGGAGCAGTGGCCTACAAACTCTGTTAGTGTAGCTGCTATGCAAGCCTTAAGTAGAAAGATTGCTGATAATGTAGGGAATAAGTGGGAAATATTTATTGAGTACTAGAGGGGTAGCTGTAATACTGCTAAAGTTTTATAGATCTTCTGGCAGAAACTTTTTAAGTTAAGACTTAGTAAGTTACGGCTTCTCAATAGAATTGGATCCCAAACAGATGTCAAGGGAGGAAGAATCAAGAAAAATGGTTGCAATTGGGAGGTAATAGAAGGAATAGCTTTTTACTTCCACAGCTAGTACTGATCACAGAACAAGCTCAGACTGCTCTAAGCAATCAAAGAAGATTAAAAGCAGGCTGTATCTGGTATGTGTGGAAACAGGATGATACATTAAATACACTTACGATATGTGTAATAAGACAGCTTCATATTAATTCTTTCATAAGAAAAGATTAATTTTGCCCTGGAGCAGTATTTCTCTGGCACTTAACTCATGTTTTGCAGAGTTCCCTGCTTGCAGGCACAGTGACGCATGTGTTTTCTCTCAACTTAACATTAGAGGCTTGCAGAAAGTGTACTGGGCTGTCACATACTACTTATTTCCTAACATTGTAAAATACTATAGTTTCAATGTTGACTATTTTATTTAAGTTACTTTTATAAAATTATACTGTTTATATTTTTTCCAGTAGTATATGCATTACATTATTTCTAATTATTTCTAATTTTGCTGTAGCCCATGATTAGGGTTTGTTCCCTGCCCCCCCCCCCCCAATAAATTGTTGGAGTACAGTGGATCGGTTAGTTGTTTTTTGTTGTTGGGGGTTTTTTGTTTGTTTTTTTTTAACTTTCAGATTATGTCTTAGTGTCAACACACTAAGATTGAACATGAACATTTTTGCGTTTTCTTCCTTGTTTGTTGCTATTCTCTGGTTTCCTCTGGTGCTTAGAGTAATTTGAGTTGCAAACTTAAAAGCACTGGCTAATGAGCCTGAGCATCTTCCTGATGTGTTTTTGTTTGGCATTATCTCTTTCTTTGTTCATCCCTGCTTTTGTTCCTTGGTTCTTCTATCACAAGGAAGGGAGAGAGACTTTGTCAATAGGTTACGGCAATAAAAATACCAAGGTATATGGCAGAGCAAATGACAACACTTGAGGCCGTCATGTCCTGTGACTGCAGTGATTTGAGGGGGAAGAAAACGTGAAGAATCTTCGGTAAAGCAATGTGGTTTATGCTGATGAAAACACAAATGTTTTCATTTTTAATAGCCATTGGGCCTGCAGTTTCCATGCAGATCCTGATCGTGGTATCTGTGATTTTGATGGTAACTGCAGGCTTGATACAGAAGCTCTGCTTTGAACAAGATGGTAACCCAGTTATCTAAATATCTAGCATGCTTTCTAGGAGGTTTAGCTTGTAAACATGTTTTGCTTTAGCTAATTTGCCAAGAGATCATAGTTGGCTGTGAAAGCAAATTTCCTGTGAAAACTTGGAATGATTCTAGACTTCGCTAAGAAAATGCTCTGGGCAGCTTCACTTACGTATTTTTTTTTTTTGTAACATTTTGGTGCTGCTTTGTGTGATGATGGCAAAACTGAAACTGGCTTGGTATTCAGCTAAAAAAGAATGAGTCTTCTCCTGTTAGAAGAGTTATCTGGGATTATGTTAGCTATCATAAATATCCTTCGCTTAGCAACAGGGATGGCATTCAGGATATCAAGCCAACTGGAAAGAATCTCTCTGACAGGGCTCTGTTGGGGTGGGTGGATAAGCATTCCTGACAACACTAGTGCTTTCGCTCCTGTCTGTCATAATTTGTGTTGCTAGGATCTGTTTCACAAGTTTTGTGACAGACTTATAAATGATACTGTGGCTCCTTTTGTTTACTGTCAAAAAGAACCATAATGTGGGGAAAGCGAACAGTAAAAGGATATGGAAGATAATAAAAAATCTGGGCACATAAGGCCATGAGTGTCTATACTAGGGCAGCTGCTCTTGAAGGGAAAAAGAAGTTAAATTTCCTTTGGATTGCTGAAATGGAAAGCGAAATATGATAACGTTCCACTTCTTTACTTTTTATGAACTTGGCTTCTTCAGCAAAACAGGAAATTATTTAGTCATAAACTGAAAACTTCAGTTAGAATTCAGGAGACTTCCCATGTATCATGCTAACCATTAATGGTGAAATTTATTTTTATTCACGGACATAATTCACATTCTTGCCTCCAAATCAGCTTTTCAATATAAATTGGTAGTTTCGTTATCAGTCCACTCAGCCTGTTTGACCTTTTATACTTTTGCTTCCAGGGGGGAAAGAAGAAGATGAACAGATAGTTGCAGAAATCACGAGAAGGCGTTTTTTTCCTCCTCTTATAACTCATAAACCCTGGGAAGGCTTTCACTTTGCTGGCCATGAAATACGAATTACAGAAGCCACTGATTGTTACGGGGCGGTCGTCTGGCCATCGGTACAATATTTATGCAGCATTGTTATTTTTTAGTTTTGGAGTCTGCTAGCACTTTTAATTTATTTTGCATTATAAATATGTTTTGTTGTGTGTTGTAAACCAAAGGAAAACATTCTGTGCTTCTCTGTCTCTGTTCTGCAAATCCCAAAGCTGAATTTAGCCTGATTTTGTATGGATTCCTGGTTCTCAAAGCTTAAATGGTATTTCTCGTTTGTGCCCCTGTCACACAAGATCTATGATCTTGTGTCCCTTCCTCACTTACCAGTAACTTTTGATCCTATTGGCCAATTACAAGCATATCTTGAAGGATATATGGCAGTCTTGTGTTGATTACATTTCTGTACATTTTAAAATACAGACAGCTGTATAGCAGCCAGATCCAGGTTGCGGAAACAGCTGTGATATGAACTCACAAGGTATTAGCACTCATGGAAGCTACTCAACCTGCTCATGTGAGAAACAAATTTACCTTGTAAATACACAGACATGGGAAAAGGTTCAGCTGGAGCTTTCAGTTTCTTAAACAGCCAGAAATCTAGTGGGAGAGAACCGTTGTCCTTGGCTCTTGATAAAAGAACCATCAATATACCCACCGTACAAAGAGCCTTCTTCAAGGTTTTGAATCTGTGCAATGCAGCTAACTGACTGTTTTGAAATAATTAAGAGTGAAAGAAACCACTGTGCGCAGGGAGGTGCCACGATGCACCATTGACACTTGGGGCAGTCAGAGAACATCCCTGAAACAGAACCGTCTCCAGGAGCCCCTATAGGAGGAGAAGACTAAAACCCAGGAGGCTCCATTTCTGTCCCAACAGTATCAGCCTCCTAGGATCATACTATTTTTAAGAAGTTCAGCCGTAGAACATAGCCAAGTAGGCCATAGTTCAGCTGAGGAGAGTTAGCATGCTCTGCTGTTTTGAACTCCAAACAATTTTCCTTGTCTGAGCAGACCTGGACAAGTCGTTTATGCTATATCTCTTAGTGGCCTCAGTGCATGTGTTCAAGGAAAGGTTGGCTGACGGCCAATTATTCTTACAAAATCATGGGCTGTACTTTTTTTTCTGGAAGGGTTTAGCCAGTTTTGCTGTGGAAGGAAGGCAACCCTTCTGTCTGTGTCTCTTCGTGTTCTCCCTTCCTGTTCCATCCAGCAGTATTTGAACTCTTCCAAAAAATGTCAGCCAAATTTGTCGAGAGGGCAGAAACTTTAAGGAAAATAAAGTTTCTGCGTGTTTCATGGAAAGGAAGGCAGATTTCAAAGTTTTCCTAATTTAACCCACAGAAATTTTGATCCTGCCAGCCAGTTTCTACAACAGAATATGGCAAAACTCTGAGGGAAGAAATTATAGAAATATATAACTAACAGAAAATCTTAATATCATATGTTTTTAAATGTCAGTCAAACATCAGACACAATCTTTAGGAACCTGGCTTTAATTAGTCCTGGTGCTCACAGACTTACTTCTTTATCAAAGCTTTGTTGATTTTGAGGTATATGGAAGTTTGCATAAAAGACCCTATTCTTTTTGCTCTGAATTAAGAGGTAGAAGGCAAGACCTTTGTTTGAATTTCTAGCATGTTAACATTGGTCAACAGTCTTTCAGTTCCTTTCCTTCTACTTCTTAATTGGTTAAGAGCGTAATTGTGCTATGCCAGACTAAGCCACTAATAATTGCCTTTCCAAATAGTCATCTGTATTGCAAAAAGATGTGGCAACCATCATACATATTTCTCAGTGGAGACTATGTAATTATCAAAATATGGGAGAAAACATGGGAGACAAGCCGGAAACTATCTTTGCCAGAGAAATAAAATTAGTAATTTCTATTTCAACAGTGAACAAGAACTCACTGGTCAGTATGAGACAGGGCAGAAAAGCTGAAGAAGCTTCTTAATCAGACTTTATAAATGCATATATAAAGAGTCTGTTGTAAAGGGCTCTTTGTGGCTTTGTTTCCTATAAAAGTTTGCTAAGCTTAACAAGGTAAGCACATAGTAACTGAAAAACTGAACGGGAAGAAAAGGGGTAAATATATTGGTCCCTTTTGAATCATTGTGGTCATTAATTATTGTTAGAAATAATTGACTATTGGAAGAGTTTAACAAGGGGTGTTATGGATTTTCTCTCACAAGCAGTCCTTATATCAAGATGTCTTTGTGAAGGACACATTTTAACTCAACCAGAAGTAAGTGCAGTTATAAGCAGGAATTGCTGACTGGAATTTTATAGCTTATGTTATGCAGCATGACAGATTAGATAATTGCAGTTGTTCCTTCTCGCTGTAATGCTTTGCAAGCCTATATTGAGGCATGTTGTGGCATTTATGTTGTCAGCCTATAGAGCTCAAAGATCATGGTGAACTGTGATCCTTTACGGACAGCTCTTGAATTAATATTGCTCATTTGAACAGACAAGAATTTTTTTGCATGCTTTTAAATGACAATGCATATTTAATGAAGAGATTTATTTCATTTGTTCAGTATGTTCATGGATTCCCTCCCCTACAGGCTCTTGTTCTGTGCTATTTTTTGGAAACTAATTCTAAACAATACAATTTGGTTGACAAAAATGTGATTGAAATTGGAGCTGGAACTGGGTTGGTCTCCATAGTAGCCAGTTTACTGGGTGAGTACATGCCATTGCTCTTATGCTCTTGGAAACATCTCTCAGATGAATACTGGAGGACAAAGGAAGTGGTTCAGTTCTTCTAAAAGACTGTTGTTTGAAAGCTTCCAAGAGCAAGAAAAAGTAAATTCCAACAGGCTTGTTTGGAAACCTCCTCCTTTATTTTTTTTTCTGTAAAGCTGTGAGTGTATTGATGCAATAAAGGAGGTCCCAGTAGATGATGTTGTCATGAACAGTGTTAAACAGAGGACCAAAATAAGGAACTAGTGGCCTCTCAGGATATCAGTGGCAACCAGTTGAAGCCAGATGTAGGTATGACCAATGCATCACCTTCCAGTGACCAAACAGCTCTTGGATGCCAGGTCACTTTCTTTCCATTTGTGTTCAGCATTTTCTTTCAGCAACTGATCAGCAACTTGATTTTTCTGCTACAGACACTGTTGTGTTTTCTCCAGATCAGTGACTTCTGGATTTTAACAGAATTTTAGCTTTCTATAGTCTGAGAGAGCTTCTTCCTATGTGAAAAGGGAAGAACCAGAGGCAATGCTTAAATCTCATGCTGACTTCTTGGAGTGAGTAACTGATATTCTTCAATCCCTAGTCACTCTTTGTACTTTTAACCAATATGATATCAAGATGCAGTAAATACCTGATTTCTCCACACCCATCCCCAGCTTCATTTAGATGGCAATTTGTAGAGTAGAACTGCTGGGAACCAAATATTTATTTTAAGCACAATGGCTAAGAGCTATTGGGAGCATTTACATTGTTCTGTTCCCTTCAGTGAGAGCTACCTGGTAAAATCAGTTCCTTGTGCAGTGGCTTTTGTGAATGGACTTTTACTCAAGTCTTGAAGTATATTCAAAGATTACATTTGTTTTTTCCCTGTCACAGGTGCACTTGTGACTGCCACTGATTTGCCAGAACTGCTGGGAAACCTTCAGCACAATGTTCTCCAAAATACAAAGCTGAAATGCAAGCACCAGCCTCGTGTTAAGGAATTATCTTGGGGAATTGATCTGGAAAAGAACTTTCCTAGGTCTTCCTGTCACTTCGACTACATTATGGCTGCTGATGTAGTTTACCACCATCCTTTCTTGGATGAACTCCTCCTAACTTTTGATCACTTGTGTGAGAATGACACTGTTATTCTGTGGGCTATGAAATTTAGGTTGGACAAAGAGAACCAATTTGTGGGCAGATTTCAGACGCTGTTTGACTTAGAGGTGATTTCTAATTTCCCCAGTTTGAACATAACCTTGTATAAGGCAATGAGGAAAGGCAAGATGAAAGCCAGACCTTCCAAACTGGCAGTCTGAAAGAGAGATACAGGGAGGTGACAGTTTCAGCTGTTCTGCAGCTTGTTCTCTTTTTAATAATTTCCATGTTAGTAGCTGCTAACACCTGCATGAATGACATTTTAAGAGATAGCTAAAACAAAACATCAGATTCCTAGCGCATCCCTAATAAATTCCTAAATTCAACTTGCTGATAGTTTTATACACAGAAGAAATGTATCTTTGACGTTTTCTTGACTTTTATGTGCTAAGCTGACAACACTGATAACTTTCACAAGTCTTACCATTATTGTTATGGGTCGTGTAATGAATATTTCCAATAGCTTTCAACTGCAGCTTTGAATGGTATCTTATAAGATCAACCAATCATTTAAAACCTAAGACTATGATAAATCTTTGTATTTAAAAGTTGTGGTGTTAAATCTGATCTTTCCCCATTCTCACTGTTGTGTAAATCCTTCCTTTGAATACCCTTTATAGGACATTAAATTAGCTGACCTGCCCCCTCCCCGGGAAATAGACTGTCATAATAAAGTGACAGAATATATTAGTTACCCTTTGATTTAATGATTATGCTTTCTTCACCTTCCATTTCTTATTTAGATTCAGGGATTCTTCAACAGACAGCCGCACACGAGGCAAGAGGGACTTAAATGCTTTGTTGCTTGAACAAAGGTCTTGGGTAAGAGGAGTACAGCGTATCACCAACTGCCCTTTGCAAAGACCTTAAATTCTTGGAGGTTTGCCCCTCCAAAAATAGACGGTTATCTGGACCTCAGGGAACAGCAATGGAAGAACGACAGTGGCCATCAAGAGAGGAGTTTTGCACTGCCAGCTGGTGGTGGCTGGAGGTAGAAAACTAAACCAGCCTGACTGGCTGAGGCATGGGCAGGCTTAGATGGTTTTTTGGTTTTGTAGTATGGGCAAACAAAATACTTTTCTCCTAGCTGCTCAGTACTGCGTGTTCCTGTTTTCAGTGGTCGGATTAATGTCCATGAAAGCCTATCAGAGAACTTTCTCTTGGGAAGATTAATAAAATGATTCTTTGCACACCTCATTTTTTATGATTCTGTTTGTAACTGAGCATGAGAGACCTTCAAGTCCCTTGCAGGCTAGAGAAGAAAACCTAGCTCATGGGCTGGTATCCAGGCAGAGTTTTACCACCCCTGCTGTAGCAGGCCATTACTCTAGCCATATGAGGGCTCTGGGAGCTGTCAGTCTTTAACTTTTTAGCTCCTGTTTGTATTCTCTCCAGGAGTTTTTTGTCAGGAAATTGTCAGTTTTATTGTCAGATTTGAGCATTTTTTTGAGATGACTTCCAGAACATAGTAGTGTTTGTACCTCTTCTTAGGACAGATGCCTGTTACTTACTCTGCTGCCTGGCACAAGTATGGGGCAGAACTATGATAAATGACTGGTGTAACTGGAATGTACTCTTACTCCCAGCCGAACATTTGGTTTTCTTGGGACAAAGGTGCCCAGCGTTAGAGATGAAGTGTTGCAGAGAGGAGAGTCTGAGCTGCCAAGCTTTCCCAGTGGGAGCTGGGGATCCTATGTGTGAAAGGAGGTTGTGAAGAGGATTTTGGGGGAGGACGGATGAGGATGTGGCAGGAGGGATCTGGAGTTGGAGGGAGGATTGCAGGGAAAAGGTAGCTGTAGGGAGAAGGTGAGATGGAGGAAGAGAAAGAGAAGAGGTAGCAACAGTGAGACTGACTTCAAAAAGGGTTAGGAACCATAGCACAAGCGTAGACCATCTTTCTTGCTACTGACTGTAAGGGGGCATCCTTGGTGAGCCACGGAGGATGACTCTGTGATAATGCTAGAGCAATCCGTACGTTTTAGCCCAGGACAGCAAAATAAGAAGAAAGGAAGCCCAATACATTGACTCTACTTTCAGGCTCTCCTGCTGGGAGATCACGTGAGATTTTGGCTTGGAGATTATTAACGAAAATCTTCTAATCCTCATCAGTTGTTTTCCTGTGACAAGGTTTGGAGGTAGAGGTACCGTCTTTTATTGGATCGACCAGTATAGCGAGAAAATTAGCCTCTATGACAGCTGGTATGGGTATTGCCTCTACTTACAGATGTTATTATGCTTATGTCCTTAGATCATTACAGCTGTAGAAAAACATACCTACAGAATGGAAATATTTTTTTTTTCCACACTGTAATAGAAATAGTTCAGTTTAAGTGAATAAAGAAACAAACATGGATCTCTGCCGTTTCTAGATTTCCTCTCCCTGCTTCCTTTGTCCTAACTCACTTGCAACCGTCAAATCCACTGCAATTGAAACTCTAATCCTTGCATCCCAAAGAGCATCTCAGTTTACAAATGTTTAATGGATAAATGGATTGACACTGTAATTAACAGGTAACAGCAAAAATACCTTGTGAACCCCAAAGTCATGAAGGCTAAAGAGGAAAAGGAACACTACAGCAAAGTAGTTAAGTGTGATCACTTTTAAATAGCAGTTCTGCTGATTAGCCCTCCTATTTGAGCTGCAGGCTGTCCCCTGCTGAGCTCCTGCTGAAGTCAACAGGAGATGTGTTTGTAGAATGGATTCAGGATTGGGCCCTTCAGGCCCAACAGCTTGTTAATATTTACTGTAACGTAACATTAGTCCTCTTTCTCACAAGTCTTGTCTAGCACTGCTGTGTGAAGCTGCCTGGGAAAGCTCTGGTGACTGGCTGCTCTATTGTACAGCCACCTTTTGTCCTCTGGTATGATGGGCAGGTTATTAGCCGTGCCCAGTGGAGGGTGAGGTTGTATGTGGCATTTGCCTATGGAGTTTATTTCTGCTCTTTAAGAACACATCTCACACGAATGTCAAGTATTACTGACTCCTGAAGTCAATCATAATTTTAATAATCACTTATTCTTTGTTCTAATATTTCAAATAAAGAACCAAGTTGTCATTCAGTGCATTATGTTGCTAATGCACATGGCATTTGTATATGTAGTTTGTGAAAGGCGGAGTGAAAAAAAGGTCAGTTAAATTTGTGGGTGAAAGAGCTCCACCTATGAGGAATGCCAGAGAAGCTGCCTAAGCTGGTAGGCTTTTACAGTGTCTTATAGTGTTATAGTAATCATACTCATTGAAGAGATAAATTGGGTTGTATGGTATGGGTTCAATCAATTCCTTGGATTTTCCGTATTCCAACATAAAAATAATTTACTGAGCAAAAATATATTTAACTAACTTGACAGAACTTGTTAGATTTTCCACAAACAATATGTTTTCAGGAAGGGTTCTTTTTGTATAAAGTATATATAAAATCATTACAGTGGTTTAGTTTGCTGCTTATTATACAATATCTCCATCAAGGTCTTTTACAAATCATTGCTTTTCCTTCTCAGAATTAAAGTAACAAACACTTCAACACTGTATGGTTTCCAAATGGTCATATCAAGATTTTGGCCCTATCTTGTTGAATTGTGATGTTGCAGCTCTGACTGATTTGGTTTCATTTGCATTATTAAACCCACCAATTTGGGCTTTTGCATCTTTTAACAGCTGTAAGAAAAAGCCGTAGCTGCTGAACATTTAGAAAAAGCATTCAAATGACAGTACAAATCTACTGTGCAAACTTCATTTTCATTTAGAAGTAGTAATGGAGGCCCAGCCTAAGAAATGCAACTGCCAAAAAATACTCAAATAACTACTCGTGGCACAAATGGCAGTTGAATGATGAACAATTTATATTAGCTATTCAACAAGCACAAGTCAGTGTTAGGTGAGCAAAGAAGAGTAGCTCTCACGCGTGTCCTCCTTAATGGTGATTGCCATTAAAGATCCGTTGAGTACATCAGCACAGGTGACGCAATCATCTGAAGAAATAGTACATTTACCAAACAACAGAGGATCCTGAAGCCTGAATGGGTTTAGAAGACCCAGGTTCAGCTAACACCCTTTGACCTGAAAGGTCAGGATTTTTGCCCACTCATAGCCACCGATACTGCACTGGTAACCATGAGGTGATCTCGGATAACTTCAGTGAGAAAGACAGACCGATAGATGCTGTCAAGATGTCATTGCTCCACTGCTGTACTTCAGAAATTGATATGTTCATTCTTATAATAGCTCTGTGACGTCAGGGAAATATTGTTACACAGGTGTAAAGCAAAGAGGGAACTGAGCTAAATGTCAAGTGATTTAACCTCAGTCGCAGTGGAGAGTCCAGTACTGAAGTTCTTTCACAGTAAAAATAACATTTCCTGTGCTCTATCTTGTTTGAGTTTGCTCACATTAAGGAAAAATTTAAATTAATTTTATTATCTCATTAGAAAAAAAGAAATTTCCATGCCACTCTGTAAATAAATTATAAAATGCCTAAGAGTATAAGCACTCAGCAACAGCCAAGAATAAAATCTCAAATTTCCCTTTCACATAGTTATGCCAACCAACCATACAATACACAGACTGCATTGGCTGCTGTAGAATTTCAGAATTGTTCAGGTTGGAAGGCACCTCTGAAGGTTACCTAGTCCTACCTCCTGCTCAGTTCTGGGCCAGATTCAAAGGCTGAACAGATTGCTCAGGTTCTCCAGTTGGTATATGAAAGTCTCCAAGAAAGGAGATTCCACAACGTATCTGAGCAGCCTTTTAATTTCAGTCTCGCCTCCATACCCAGCTGGAATTTCTCTTGCTGCAGCTGGGCATCTGTCTTTTGTCATTTTGCAGTGCACCTCTGGCTTCATCTTCTCTAGAACCCTCTCGTTAGGTAGAAGACAGCCTTTAGATCCAGCCCTAAGCTTCCCTTCAGACCAAACCAACCCAGTACTCTCAGCCTCTGCTTCTTCCAGCCCCTTAACCATTTCAGTCCTCCTTCTCTGCATTCTCTGTAGTTTATTAAGATCCCTTTTACTAGTGGCTCCACTAGTCAGCTCATGGCCTGTGCTATTGCTTGGTGTTCTTCTGGTGGACTTCACGTGGATTTTGGTAGCCTATTCCTTCAGCCTGTCAAAGTCCCTCTGAGCAGCAGCTCTGCCCTTACCCCAGTTTGGTGTCTTAACAGCATTT